ATTGCGGCTGCATCGGCATTAGGCAGTGTTTGGTAGTGAATGTGGAGGAGGTGATCGGACAGGGGAGGAGAATAAAGAGAAAGAGCAGAATCATCGTGCACTAACACGACTTTTCTTCAACCTGAGTTATTGACCTGACCTCCTGGAGGCTAAGGTTAATCGCTGAGGCCATGATATACTTTTAATCAGATCTAGAAGTGGCTGACCAGTTAGTTGGGAAAAAAATTGCCATAAAACAAGGGGTAATGAGAGGTTCTGTCGCATTACTTGTGTCACTTCTTTTTTTTACAGAAATCTTAAAAAGGGACTCTTTAGATAGGGAGAATTTATCAGCATACTGAGGGCGGAGCCAAAAAACTTACAATTAATTTACTTCTCTACGATCGTCGACAACCCATACTTTCTGCTTATATGACTTACATGTCAAAAGTCGTGAATCTGTCACCTACTTACCTCCTTAATTCATGATCTCGCCACGCAGCATTCATCATGACTTGGAAGTCAAGATGAACACGTGGTCATTTTCAAGAATATCTGGAACACTGATGGGACTCAATTGCACCAGCATGCCTGACCAACGTTGATATCAATTAAATATTCACTATTCAATCCCTAATCCTTTCCACTGCAAGGCACAAGATGTGCACGATCTCGTCCATATTCCTGAAATGTCTTTCCTCTTGGAACTAACAATTTGGTTCCGCCTACCTAGAAAATAAAGTGAAATTCTTCTTGTGGGTACGGTTTTGTGATGGGGGCTATGGGATCTTAGATGATGTCAGCTTATACGAAGAGACTTATTTCGCTCTAGGCTGACCACTCCTATTGCCTAAGCATAGGTCTTTGTTTGCTCACTCTCACGTTATCATGTCATTTGGTCAAAGGTTGTTCTAAAGTAATATAAGGGGACTTGCAGTTATTTTATGTTTTTTAACTTGTAGGATGCTACTTTATCGCCAAGTCTCCACCTTTTTATTCCACCCTTTAATCCCATTGGTCCATCCAAACCAATCAAATTGATGGTGCTAGTCAAAAATCAATATTGCAAGACAACCTCAAATTTCCGGCTGGAAATCGTGGTAATTACCCCCAGAAAATCATAATAAATGTAAAATTATGCGGTACAAATCTCTACCCTCTCTTACAAAGGGTGAATTTTAAAGTATCCAAAGCCTCACAAATGGATTAATTGCAATGAGACCTATTGACAGTTGTGTGTACAACTATTCAAAACTAACTTTTCAAAATACGGGTCTTTTCTTAAATACACAGGCTGAGTCATCTTTTGAGAATGTTATATTCCACTGAAACAGTAAAAATTTATCATTTCCTTTCAATTTAAGGAGATGTGGGAACGCTTTTTGCTGTCTAAACTGCTGCTGCAACTGCCTCCCAGACATAGTGGCTCAGACGATGGAAAAAATAGACAGTTTTTCAACCGACCCAATAGCAACTCCTCTCACAAAAACATATTGCTCTTTTGCATTCCACTAGTACATGTCCAGACGCCCTAGTTACGGCAATGCATTTGGAGGTAGACCCTGCGGTGGACGGGATGGAAGTACAAGAGAGCGGAGACGAGAGCTTGAGGTTATCCAGAACACAGTTAGCGCATTTCATTTAGACTAAGAGGAGAAGAGCATCGACGGTTGGCATACTAAATGCCTTTGAACACTCAGGCAGTACGTGACAGCGAGACCACGATTTTCCTCGCTGATTGAAGGCTTAAGAATTACGCGATTGAAAGCTGCATTTTGCGAACAACCAAGGAATTGAAGGATTAAAAAGCAGAAAAAAAAATTCGTTAAAGCATTCAGTGGGGTGAAAGTTAAGTTGATGAGTGGTTATGGGATGAATGTGAGATGGATGAATGGATGCAGGATGAAGGGATTTGGTATAGGTGGGGGAATGGATCCGAGGATTAATGGATGGATGGGTGGATCAAGAATGGGTTCGGGGCAGGTGGGTCCCAGATGGATGGATAATAGGATCCAAGATGAATGGAGGTACATAAATGGATTTCTAATTAGGCATAAATATAAATGGATGAATTAAGGAGAGTAATCAACAATTTTTTTTGTGTCCATAACGCGTTCACCTATCTACAGCATAGACTTTTAATTCACTGTCCCAGATCTTAAACAGTTTTTTTAGAAGTTAAGACCTTTTGCACAACCGATTTTGTAGGCATGGTCCCAAAAAAGCAGTATAGATCAAAAAACTCAAAACAGACGAGCATCTTTACCTTTCCTCTATTTCACTTTATCACGAGGCGGAGGAAAATAAGAGGCCGGGAAAAAAAAGTAAAGAATACCCTTTTATATTAACGTGCACCAAAAACCTAACAATTTAAAGGTCGACTCACCCTAATCTTGAACTCTTGCAAGATGCTGAGGAAAATTTCTACGTCAAGGCGAATGTTCACACTTTATCCTAAGCTCTCTTCAATCGTTGAAGCTACTTTGAATAAGAGGATTCAAATGGCGCTAAAGCGTTTAATCTAAAACTTGTTGATAAGGTAGAGAATTAAGACGGCAATATTAAAAAATACAAATGCCAAAAATGGATAAAATAATGCTTGCCTATCTTTTTTTGGAGGATTAATAATGAAGAGGTGTCCACCAATTCACCCAGCGAGATGCTGCAGAACGAGCCTTCTGGAATTGTCCATAATGACAGCAAAATCGATGATGCCTGAAGGTCACTTATGACACTGGATCAGCTGATCCCTACATGACAGCAAGCATCGCCTTTTCCACCAATTCATTTTTTCACTAACTTGAGTCAGGGTCTTTTTTCGTAGGCTTTATGAATGCACGATGCCACAATTTTTGTGTCCTGAGTTGCGGCTGTCTGTGTCAAAACCTGTCTCAGACAAGTTAATTGACTTGGCAACATTTGACGGAGGTGTGAAAGGCTCTTCACCGCAGGACATGGACATCTGTTTTGGGGTTTTTGGGCAGTACATCAGAACATTACGCGCCTCATTTGTTGACTCTGGCAGTTATTCTTCCTTTCAGAGAGAAATCTAGAGGTGAGAAATGGATTGGAAAACTGGCATGAATATAGTGGCTGGTTTTTGCTGGAGACGAAGAAGTGAATAGGATTTGAATATATCAAGACTAAGGGATCAGGGATGGATGGGTGGATGAATAAATACAGGATAGGTGTACCTGGAAAGAATAGATACTGAGCTAAGCATCCCTAACAGCATTAATCTGGGGTTTGCTGACCTCTCCTCCTCTCAGGCATAGAAGAGCGAGGGGAGGAGAGGGGGGAGGTATCAACAGAGAAGTGAGAGGGTGAGACAATCTAGAAGCAAGTGAATGATTCAAGAGTGTAGCCTAGACGTCTGCAATGTTCTCCCAACTAAGAATTTTTATGCATTTATCTTGCTAGCACCTCGGTGTCTAAAAGGGATGATTTGAAAGGAACTCGCCATAGGATTTTATCACCTCGTTGAAATTTGCAGCGGGTTGGAGGAGTGATAAAAAAGCCATAAATAACATTTCCACCCACTGAATACTGAAATCTCTCAATTAAGAGAAAAATTCGTAAATGCTGGATACAGCCTGTAAAATTCTCCTCTTACTTTTTGGCATTAATCATAAAATATTTCATACTTTTTGTGTATTCCTTCTCTTGAAAATCGCATAAAAAATATGTTTCAAACCATTGGGTACGACATTATGCCCTGATGACTAACCTCCTTCCAAGGGGAATCCGCCCTTGGAAAAAAATGAAATTCCTGATGTCGGCGTTATGACAAAAATGCAGTTAGAGATGCTGAAGTAGGTGATATTAACCCTAAAAAATTATTTTGTGCACGAATTTAGTCGATGTATCAACCATCCATCCATGTGATGTGTAGATTCAACGACTGCCAAATCGAACAATTACGTCGTCAAACTGTGAGACTGCCAAGTTGTCAACCACTGACGGCAATGTAGCTCTCCAGGAGGAGTCCACTCTCACCCATCCAACTGCTCGACTGTCTTCCCTCATCCCTTACTCGTGCATACGATGAACTGGTCACGATTAGCGAAGAGAGAGGAAGGACGAGAGGAGGAGAGAGAGTGAGAGGAGAGAGCGAGGGAGAAGCATAATTGAAACAAGAGGTGTGCATTAATTGTTTGTTTATGCATATCAGTGCAAGAAAAACGCCTCATGTGTAGGTGTGCATTATTTTTCTATCCCAAAGTGAAAAATCCAGACCAGTGTAGTGTAGTGCAGTGTGACTGCGAAAACACATTACCCTTTGGCCAAATTGACTGCGCATTTTCGTGCAGATTTGGAAAGAAGAAATTGTGTAGGAAGACGAACAACTTTACCTCCCAGTTGGCCCTGTTTGATTGGGTATGATGGAGGGAAGTTTTACAAATCAAGCTGGTAAAGATTGACCTAAAAGGTCGGTGAATCTTTAAGCAACTCCACTCTACTCTACCCCAACTTCACTCCGCTTCACACCACACGTGATACCGTTTTTCTTATCGGACGTATAAGTCGACTTTTGCGAGCGCACCAATGAGATTTGAAGGCGACGACCTTGAAACGAGGTCATAGAACCTGTCTAACAAAGAACATTTCTGAAGGTCATTGAGCATTGTGGTGCATCGACTATTGGTCGAGTTCAATCTATTAACCTAATAGAAGTGGTAGTTGAAGAAGTGACCTCTTACGTCAATTTTTTCCTAGCCAATCATGCGTCACGTGATGCCAACTGAAATTCTCTTCGTGTCAAATCTAATTGCGTAAGTTGCTAGTTTAACGTGAACTAAATAGCCAGTTTTTTTTGTTTTAAGGAAAGATGAGTAGTCCAAAAAGTTGATGTCTAGACGCCAGTCGTAAAAAAAAGCACAACTAAGTAGTTTAACCTTGATGCTGTTGTCAACATATTCATTTCAGTACATAAAGATAGGTCTAAAAGAAAAAGCATTCTCGAGACAGTCTAGTCTTCCGACCCTGGACTTGGAATAGACAGTGACAATGACAAATCTTGTGAATAGTTAGGTGAAGAAGGCTGACAGGGAGGGCAGAGGGCTGTAAACTTTATGCTATGACAGCTTTGACAAGTGAATAATTAAACAGAAGGTGTTTTCCTTGTGCCTTTCTCCCTTCGCCCTGTTTGACAGCCTAGACAGCCGCAAATACTAACTAAAAGTTAGCAAGGGACTACCGTCTTGATGCTTATTAGCGTTGCCCTAGCAACGCGTCTTTGCTAATAACAATTTGGAAATGATTGGTTAAGGGATGTTGGAGGAGATGTCTGCGCTGATTAGGCTTTCTTTCAATATGAGGGATGAAGTGGGGGATAAGGAGGAGAGACATCTTCAGATTTCTTTGCCTGAGCAAGAGACCCACTTTCTTGTACAATTCATTGTGAGTCTGCCACGGACTCATTTGTCCGCCGCACCACTCCCTGCCCCTATCTAATTTGATCCCCATTGCTCACTGCTTCACTTGGAGCGTAAGGCCGTCAATAAGCAAGCCCACGATGTCCTCCACTTGTCTTAAATCTGTCAATTCCACGCCGTGTTTGCCTAATCACCATCTACGTACCAATCTTGGACGCTTTAATCCATCAGTCTATTTACAGTCATCCACCTCTGACCTATCCATTCAACCATCCCGATCCACTTCATCCAAGACGGGGGCAATAAATATTTCTTCACTCACAATGCGACGACAATAGGCTAAAAATGTCCGCAGAGTGCCACGTAGTCAGTCCCGAAACCCCTTCCCTCCCGTCCACCGCCCTTTCGTCTGTCCTATTTTGAGCTTCGTCTACGACGCACTCCTAGCTGTTGTTTGATAACACAAACAAGCCTCTGCGCGGCATTGACTATCCGCGAAAGCAGTAGTCGTTGGTGAGAAATGCCTGCAAATTGAATTTTTACACTTTTGTAAAAGCACGAAACTCCCCTGAAACGGCATATAATAGGGTGTCCCATCATTATCAACCGAAATCCCCCCTTCCAAAAGTAAATTTCCCCTTTTTTTGTCTACTCGCCCACTTGTCTCTGCCCCTCAAGACATGGTCGGACACGCAGACAAAACATCTGAGGGTTGGGTAAACACCAGCTCCTAGCTTTGGAGGTTGTGATGGCTGGGGAGAAGGCTTGAGTTCCAAGGGGGTGGAACTGTTGCTGTCTACCTTTAGCAGAGAGGATGAGTCAGAACTCCACATTGGGGCCTTATTTATTTTGGTCTGAAAATCCTGCATGACAAATGCTACTGGAAATCTATTTACCATGGGTGTAGAGAGAAGCTGACAGGCTGGGAGAGATTTGAAGGGTCCGCGTAATAAAAAAGAGGTATCATTCTTTGTAGCTAAGCCAATTTGCCCGAACCTTCCTTTGGGTAAGTATGAGATGTTAGGGGGATTATTCTTTATTTTCGAGTTAATTTGTGCGAATCTTTTGTTTGGTGAATAAAAATGAGATGTTAGAGAGGGAGAAATAGAGGTAGGGAGTTGGCTCTCCTTACCAAGTGCATACATACCAACGGAGGCGAATTTGTACGTCCGGCATTAACACGCACACGCACATACCCACACACACACACACACACAAACCTTTCGCCCACCACACGTAGCAAATGACAGATGGCCGTTCTTTCCACTTAAGTGCAATCTGTGCGTCAAATTTGCAATCACTTTCACCTCTGAGCGTGACACCTCCAGCACTTAAGGGCCTTTACCACGTCCTACCCGGACACCTTAACTTTTACCTTGCCCATTAAAAAGATCAGCCTATCTCTCCCATTTTCTGCTTCCATCCCCTCCTGACTCCGCCAGCCGATCATCTTTCCTCTAGTCTATCCATTGTTTCCCCCTAAAATTATTCAATGAGCTATCCCATCTGCCGTACCACATAATCATACTTTGGTCCATTAATCGCCTCATGCATACAGTCGGCACACATTTCCAGTCTTTTTCTATCCACATACTCAGCTACAAGTCCATTTATCTACTTGTTTGTCGCGTGGAAAATGTCACTATCCTTCAGCAATAAAGAGAAGAGTAAAATAGAGCTGACTATTTTCTTCATAATTCGTTATTATTTTTCTTTACTTTGCTACAATGTTTCTCGAGGTGATTTAGGCCTCCGATTCTAGCGTGATTCAGCCGAGCATGGCTGTCCACAAAGTGGACCTCTTGGTGCTCAGCATCTGGACGGTTTTTCTGCGCACACTAACACGTGTTTCCGCGTGCGAAAAAAAGCTTGTTCTGCTAGAGGAAAAAAATATAAAAAAATTGCCAGGATTATTATTAGTATTTGCAATCTATTTTGGGATCATAAGAGGAAATTTCAGAAAATTTTAAACCTCTAAAAAGCCGTCGTTCTCGAGTTAGTTAATCCTTCAATCGAATTTTGCTTAGTAAAACACACTTGATTGGTCAATTGCTGACGAATAAATGGATAGAAAATAAGTGTTTTACCAATAAATGCCCCTAATTCCTCATCCAGAAGAAAAATTCGAAGGATCCTGTGACTTTAATAACCTTATTTTCTCATTGGATCAGCCGACTAAACTTCAAACTCTTTGAGATTATAAATATGTGGTTAACGCTGGGTGTTCTCGCACCTGATGACCTGACCTCCTGGAGGCTAAGGTTAATCGCTGAGGCCATGATATACTTTTAATCAGATCTAGAAGTGGCTGACCAGTTAGTTGGGAAAAAAATTGCCATAAAACAAGGGGTAATGAGAGGTTCTGTCGCATTACTTGTGTCACTTCTTTTTTTTACAGAAATCTTAAAAAGGGACTCTTTAGATAGGGAGAATTTATCAGCATACTGAGGGCGGAGCCAAAAAACTTACAATTAATTTACTTCTCTACGATCGTCGACAACCCATACTTTCTGCTTATATGACTTACATGTCAAAAGTCGTGAATCTGTCACCTACTTACCTCCTTAATTCATGATCTCGCCACGCAGCATTCATCATGACTTGGAAGTCAAGATGAACACGTGGTCATTTTCAAGAATATCTGGAACACTGATGGGACTCAATTGCACCAGCATGCCTGACCAACGTTGATATCAATTAAATATTCACTATTCAATCCCTAATCCTTTCCACTGCAAGGCACAAGATGTGCACGATCTCGTCCATATTCCTGAAATGTCTTTCCTCTTGGAACTAACAATTTGGTTCCGCCTACCTAGAAAATAAAGTGAAATTCTTCTTGTGGGTACGGTTTTGTGATGGGGGCTATGGGATCTTAGATGATGTCAGCTTATACGAAGAGACTTATTTCGCTCTAGGCTGACCACTCCTATTGCCTAAGCATAGGTCTTTGTTTGCTCACTCTCACGTTATCATGTCATTTGGTCAAAGGTTGTTCTAAAGTAATATAAGGGGACTTGCAGTTATTTTATGTTTTTTAACTTGTAGGATGCTACTTTATCGCCAAGTCTCCACCTTTTTATTCCACCCTTTAATCCCATTGGTCCATCCAAACCAATCAAATTGATGGTGCTAGTCAAAAATCAATATTGCAAGACAACCTCAAATTTCCGGCTGGAAATCGTGGTAATTACCCCCAGAAAATCATAATAAATGTAAAATTATGCGGTACAAATCTCTACCCTCTCTTACAAAGGGTGAATTTTAAAGTATCCAAAGCCTCACAAATGGATTAATTGCAATGAGACCTATTGACAGTTGTGTGTACAACTATTCAAAACTAACTTTTCAAAATACGGGTCTTTTCTTAAATACACAGGCTGAGTCATCTTTTGAGAATGTTATATTCCACTGAAACAGTAAAAATTTATCATTTCCTTTCAATTTAAGGAGATGTGGGAACGCTTTTTGCTGTCTAAACTGCTGCTGCAACTGCCTCCCAGACATAGTGGCTCAGACGATGGAAAAAATAGACAGTTTTTCAACCGACCCAATAGCAACTCCTCTCACAAAAACATATTGCTCTTTTGCATTCCACTAGTACATGTCCAGACGCCCTAGTTACGGCAATGCATTTGGAGGTAGACCCTGCGGTGGACGGGATGGAAGTACA